TCAACACCAAGTCGCCGACCATCGACCTGCATGCGGCTGACAAGGTCAAGCGGTGGTCCATGTGCGTGCCCCTCGACGACATTCCACCTCTACTTGAGGTTGAGGAAGCGGTACGGGAAGTGGCCAACAGAAAAGCCGTCGGGCCGGACGACCTACCGGCTGAGCTGATCAAGCTTTTCCTGGACGGAGATCAAGGTCTCCTCCGCGACTTCCACGCCACTGTCGTGGACGTGTGGCAGGCGGGGGACGTACCACAGCAGTGGAAGGATGACACTATCAAAGTGCTGTCCAAGAAGGGGGACACGATGGAGTGCGGCAACTACCGGGGCAGCTCTCTCGTCGCACACGCCGGCAAGGTGCTGCCTGAGGTCGTCGCTACACGACTGAGCCACTACTGCGAGCGAGAGGGCATCCTCCCGGAGGAGCAGAGCGGTTTCCGACAACACCGGTCGACGCTCGACATGCTGTTCGCCATCCAGCGACTCCATGACCTCGCGAGGAAGAAGAGTAGTGAGGTGTTCGCGTGCTTCGTCGACCTTACCAAGGCATACGATTCGGTGGACCGAGACCTACTGTGGCACGTGCTCCGACGCTTCGGCGTGCCCCCGAAGATGCTGGCGGTCATTCGCCACTTCCACGAGGGCATGAGGGCGCGTGTCCGAACGGACGACGGGCAGTACTCGGAATGGTTCGACGTGGGCCAAGGTCTCCGACAGGGATGAAACCTGGCCCCGCTGCTGTTCAACTTGTTCTTTGCCGCGATGCTCATGGTCGCCGTGGCCGAGTTCGGCAAGGACCCCAAGGTGACGGCGGACATGGTCAAGATCGGGACACAAGTGGAGTACACGGGCAAGAAGGGCAGGTCGGCGGGGAAGAAGACGACGGTGGTGACGGACGCGGAGGCCTTGTGGGCCATGCTCTACGCTGACGACGCGGCCATCGTCTCGCGCTCGCCGGAGTCTCGAGAAGATGATGTTGGTCATCGTGCGCGTGGCCGGCCTGTTCGGACTGATGGTATCGGAGCCAAAGACGGAGATCATGTGCATGCTGCCGAAAGGGATCGAGGAACGCCCGTTCACGGTCAGCGCCGCCGGCCAGACGTACAAGCAGACAGATCGGTTTGTGTACCTCGGGCGTACCATCTCCGCGAACGGGAAGGCCGACCGGGAGATCACGAGCCGCAGCTGCCGAGCGTGTAAGTGCTACCGCCGGAACAGTGCTTCGATGTATGACAGGCGACGGGCCGACTGCCAGCTCAAGATCCGGCTACTCCAGGCTGAAGTGGTGGAGACTCTCCTATATGGGTGCGCCTCGTGGAGCCTAACAGCGGAGCACTACACGAAGCTCAATGGGACCCACCGCCAGTTCCTTACACGGTGCATCGGCTGGAGCAAGCGGAAACGCTCAGACCGCCCCCTGTCCTATGCCCAGGCCCTCATCCAGGCAGGCTGCGAGGAAACCATCGAGGCCACCGTGCGCAAACGGAGACTGTGTTTCGCGGGCTTTGTTATGCGCACGGAGGACAACCGCCTCCCCAAGCGCATGCTGCTAGGAGCGATGGCGGGGGGCGTGGGGTACCGGGGCGGGCAGGAGAGCGACTGGGTGTCTCGTCTAGGAGAGGACCTCGTGACCTTCAACGTGGGCGACGAAAAGGAAGGGGTGAAATGGAAAGCGAGCGCCAAGGACCCGGAGGTGTGGTACAACAAGGTCGAGGACGGGGCGGCATGGCTCATGAAGAAATGGCACAGGCAGGAGGCGGAAGCGTCCGCGAAGCGCCAACGCGCGAGGGAAGCAGAAGCAGAGAGTACGGCCATCTCAGGACCGAAGATAAAGAGATTCGGGGAAGCGGCGGTGGGGGGGAAGAAACGGCGACCGGGCACTGCTGTAGAAGCGAGTAGGGCGGCCGAGGCAGCACTTGTGGCGAACTATGTACCCGGCTGATGATGTTGCGCCCTGTTTCCCTCCCTGCTGTATGCTATACTCCTTTATGTATGTCCTTTGTATTGCCTTCGGCCTCTGTGCTGTGTTTTTATGTTTCTTTTTTTCATGACCTCCCTGCCTACTTTGCTGTGTTGGGTACCTTGATCTATCTTTTGCTGTTGCTTTTGTTTTTGTACATCTGGCTGTCTGCCCATCTTCCGCCTCTTTGTCCTGTTTGCTCCATTACTCCCATGCCCTGGTGCGTAGTGCCTGGTGCTGGTACGTTACCCTTTGATGCGTCCTTTATTTTTGTTTTTGTCTTCTTTTGATCGGTTTCCGAGAGCTCTTTTCTCGAACGGTCGGTGCGATACCTGTTATTTTCTTTCTATCGCATTGTTTTCATATTCCGAGTGGTTTGTACCCTATTTTTGTTTTGTTTCCCCGCGGCGTCGTATGTGCCGGGTTTTGCGACCACGGGCTCACCATTTTTTGTGGACTTTAGAGCTATAATGTGAGACACGACAACAACAACAACCCACCAACAAGAACAAGACATCATACCCCAAGGCAACTCATCCAACCGCGGTTCTTCACTTCCGCTACCCACGCAAAAGCCAGCAACAACATGCCGAGCTTAGTTGGCCTTAGATAATAAACAAGAACCATATCCAATAAAAATCCGTCGACAAGAAAGAAAATGATACCCTAAATCCTCTTTCGCTAGCTAGTCCCTCTAGCTCTATCAAATCCTCCGAGGTTACAGTCACCAATCCGGTCAACCATTCACCCACCCGGGGTGAAGCTCCAGCATGGAGCGCTCTTCCAATGCGTCCACCCAACGGCGTTTGAGATGATACTACCAGGTGCGACAAGACTCAATTCTTAGACACCAAACCAACTTAAACGTCAAGCCGAACAAATGCGCTAGACCTAGACGAATCGACCCTCTGCCTGGCGGGCACTACCAAATACCTTTCTCAGCAAAAATAATCACACAGACGAACGAGAATCGTCTGATCAAACCACGTGAAACAACAGTCGAAGAATCGAATCGAATCATCGCATCACAGGAGAGTCAGAATAAGGGGCACTCCTTTTGCCCACTTCTCCTGTCCGATGGAGCTCGACAGCTCGTCCACTTGCGATTGCCTGAAGGAAAACGAGCAGACGAATACCCAATTTGGCGCAGGCGGGCGGGTAAGTGTGTGTGAAATCGTCCCCCTTATATCGAACAGAGGCAGTGAACGAAATCTGGGGCGGCATCGGAGGCAGCATTCGACCCTTGGCGCTGATGGAATCCGCGGAACGACGTCTACTTCGAAGATGAAACAAAAATTAGGCTTGAATACTCAAAATAAGGCCAGTATCCAGCCGGTTTTTCTCCCTTTCACTGTAACGAAAAATATAGCAACGTATTTCTTTCGATTGTGGTTGTACCTATCTCGAAAGGGTAGTCTTTCTGTAATTGTATGTAAAACTTGAGAAAAAAAAATGTTCATGAATCCAGTACATCCGCGAATAATCTGATCAGAAAGCCTTCCAGCGTGTTTTGTCCCTGCGAGGACCGGCGTGTTTCCATTGGCCAGTCGCTGAGCACCGTGGAAACGCACGAGTCAAGGAAACAGAGGCATCAGGCTACGCGCCACCGCCTCACAGAATACGCTTCAAAGGGTCCGACTCTCGAAACATACGTCGCTAAATCAGCAAATTACAGCAGCTGCAGCCACACAACTCACTTGCAGGGGTCCGTGGTGACGACGAAGTCAACGTTGTCGACGTCCTCGATGGGGTTTTGCAGGATGGCATGGATAGAGACACCGTTATCCGCCGCCAGCTCGCCCACTCGCTTGATGATCCCAAGATCGTCCCTGCACACCGTCAAAAACACACAAAAAAAAAAAATATAAATATATATATATGGCATGTTTCGCAAAACGGCACTCTCACTTGAGAGACGTGGCCCAAAAATCTGCACCATAAGGGAAACGATACCCAATCGACGAAATATAGACTTGAGCATTACAGAGCTCTCCTATTTGGCTCGAACACTTGCCGAGTGGAATGCAAACACGAACAGCAAAACAAGAGCACTCACGAGCAGGTGATGCGCAAGTAAAAGGCTGACGTGAAGTCCGACTCCAGCTCCCACTCCTGCCACCGCAGTCGTAGGACAGTCAAGACACGGAGGCGGGAGGTAACGCGGGCGGATGAAGGGGGCCAGGACCCACAAAACACGAAACACCGACGACCGCGGGAAGATATATTCTGTACACGTACCATTTCGCCTGTTTTCGCGCTTCGGGACTTCTTTCGCCGGCGGAAGCGCGTATTTCTCGAGCTTTCTTTTCAGGGGCACGCAGAGGGGTCGTCGGTACATTCGTGCGCACCCGCGAGGACCGCCAGCCACCCGTGGCGCGTGTGCTTGTATGCCAAAAGTCGCAAAAACTGGCTCTACACCCCGGGGACGTGTTTCGCGCGAAGAAAGCCTTAAGAAATAAAAAAAAACTGCTTCGCATAAACAGGAAGACTTGTGGTTCCTGCGCAACGAATGCTTAGCAACGCACACAAGTCCTACAGACATTGAGCAACACGAACACACAAGAGGGAGTGATCAACGCTGCGGATTATAGCTGTAGGAGGACCTGCAGCAAGACGCCACTTGCCTAAAAGCACACTCACGCACACCCGACAAGTCACGGCGAGAAAAAAAAATATATATATACCACGCACATGACACAATATCCACGCAATATCTGCAGGTTGTACGTACGCAAAACCGGCACTACCGGACGTCATGACGTTGAGATGCAACGATGCGATCGCCACGACATTGGTCATGTCCACTTGCGTCGCGCCCGGGAGGTCAGCCACCCAACTCCCAAAGGGGAGCCTTGTAATGGCTACGGTTGCAACGAACTCGAGGACGCCGCGTAACCACCACCGGCTCTCAACAGCTGACACGTGATCCCCGGACAGCCAACGCTCCGCCGGCCCCCCTCAATCAGGCCAATTCCGGGGAAAGGAACACGTGGACCATCACACACGACCTCGCGAAACAGGACGCGCGGTCAAAAGAAACGCACAACCCAGCGAATCGCCTCACACAAGTCCTGTGCCTTCCAAATGTTCTGTCCGTTTCCCACAATTCCATCTAAACCATCTACAGGTGACTGAGAATGACTCCCTCCACTGGCGAGACAAACAACAACAACAGCAACAACAATCTACCAGAACGAGACGACCAAACGCCCGCACCCGCTACGCAGCACCCACCGCCATCTGCGACACCACCACGAGCATGAACGCTTCACCCACCTTGTCGAAGGGGAAGGGGGAGCCAACCTTGCCCGTCCCGAGGCGAACGATGTCGTTCACCACAGAGTTAGCCGTGGGATACCGCCCCGCGCCGGGTCCAGAGAATGATGCCGTGCCCATGTTCTGCGGGAGGGGAAGGGGCGGCACAACAACCCAGGTGGAGGGATGGAAGTAGCTGCCTCTGAGTTGGGGGCGGGGATCAATATAGTTACAAACCTTGGGTCAGAAGATCCACATGCATCTAGACAACTCTGTAGCCGCTCGTGAAACGCCCCCCTCCCCCAACAAGCCTACGGAGGGTATGTAAACCAAATCTGCAAACCCGACTAAGGCGGTGTTCTGTGATCCGCCGTAAACCTGCTCTACATACTACCAGGACTGCTATGTTCGCGCCGAGCTCTGAGCTGACCCGTACACGCACAAGCTTTGTTGCGACCCCAGTCCATTCTCAAGCCGGCAACGGCAGTCACGCCCTTGAGGATGCAAACCTTGGAGTCGACGGAGACGATGTTCCCGGCTCCTCTGGCGGAGGCGATGGGGTGGCTGAGCGGCACGAGCACGGGGGACACGAAGACCGAGAGCTTCTCGCCGTCGGCGGACAGCATGGCCGTGCCCAACAGCTTGATGGTCGACTTCATCATCTTCGCGTACTCGAAGTCGACCGAGGTCAGGGACGAGATTCCCTTGCACTGGATCTGTTGACCGAACAAAAAACAAGAGCAACATATACAGAGAATAGCTCAGGTTTGTTATGACGAGGGGGTTTTGGGGTTGTGGCGGCGCTGGGGCGGCAAGTGTCGCCGTGCCCAACGCCGCCGCACGAAGATTGGCGAACCGTACGTATCATCTTGGCGTGTTACCGACTTCAAATGTCTTCGTACTCCAAACACCTCTGCCACGTATTGCTTACAGCCCGCAGCTTGAGGAAACAACCACTAAGATCCCTCCCGCCCTCTCGGAGACGCTTCCCCAATACGATATTTTGCTCCTCAATCCCTCCTCTTGACCGCACCCCCCCCGGTCCTCCTGCCCCCGGTGTTTGCCATCGGGATTGAGTTTTAGTCGCTTGGCAACGACGTTGTAAAACAAGCCAATTCACTTCGTGGAGTCGGCGACCAGGTTACCGTTTTTTTTACCTCTGTTTTTTTTTTGGCGGTAACCATAATGGTGGTCGAGTAGATCATGTTGTGCGGGGTCGAGAACCCTCACTCCGCGTAAGGGGGGTGATCGCACCACGTTGTGTTAAAATGGTCAAGCACCTCGAGCAGTTACACAGTGCTTACAACTGTATCAGGAAGCGAAAGCACCAGAAAATTAAGCCATACGCAGCTGTCATCCGTACGCAAGGAAGTAAGCACGAGATGCCGAACACCCTTAGCAGGATGCAGCGCACCCTTCATGCGACTCGCCGAATATCTCACGGCGCTTCGCGCTTGGTGATGTGAGAGCCTGGTCCGGTGAGAACCCGGNTTGGTGATGGAGAGCCTGGTCCGGTGAGAACCCGGCGTGCTCCGTCCCAGCTTTGTAGGGATGCGAGGTGAATGGCTAACGACTACGGCATGCACGACTATGAGTACACCCCCCGGTCAAATGACTACGGCAAGCAACAAATGAGTACGCCCCCCCCCCCGGTCTTCCGGCTCAACCACGTAACCCCCCCGCCTTCGTCCTCCGTCTTACCAAATCCGATGGCACCGTGGCGCCGAACGCCAGCTTTGTCAGGAGAGCGATCTTAGCTTGCACGTCAAATCCCTCCACGTCCGCCGTAGGGTCCGCTGCGATCCGACCGAAGAGACGTCGAGGGCGGGGGTGAAGCGGTGGCGACCCAGCAGATGGGAGAGTTAAGTTTTGACACAGATCAACGAGGGTTCTATAAACGACAGACACCGCACGCAGCACGTACAGGAAAAAATCGATCCGAGGTGGATCGCACGAGAATATGCACACCCCTTGTACACTCCCAACCGGTGGTGAGCGTGGATACTACCTGCCGGCGCGTAGCGACTATGAAGAATTGAGAAAAAGGTTGCGCTGATGCCGTGAAGGGGTGCGATATTGTGCGCAAAACCGGCATCTGCTTCCTCCTCTGCGTGAATGAGCTACACTGCTTGTAGTCTACGGGTACGCTACCGTTCTACAGCAAGCAAGGCGGGGATGGTTTTGCTTCGCAGAGCAGTGTGAAAAATAAGTTCCACGCTTGCAACCCTCGTTAAGAAACCAAGCTCAAACCGGCCTCGCCCGGTACCCGGGATACTCTACTCTCCAACCGCTTGGCGTCATCGGCGACAAAAACGCCGCACATGTATCTAGCGAAGCCACGCCAGCGCGGACACACTCTTGAACAAGCTATCACAAACGGGGGGGGGCGGGGGGGGGTACGTGCCACACCTCTTCCTCACCCTCCGCGTAGCCCAAGTCCTGCGCCTCCTTGAGCACTTCTCCGTAGTCGGCGCCCTCGCTCTCCATCTTGGAAAGCATGAAGTTAGTGGTCCCGTTCATGATGCCGCACACCTAAGACCAACGACAACAACAGAGAATAGATACGCGCGCGTGGGGGGGTGGGGGTGGGTTCCACGTGCAACAAAGCGAGACGAAAAATTAAAAAGACATGAAACAAAGACACAAGCTTTGACGAGATCCCGATACAGGTTTTCCTCGTCAATAACATGCGCTCGTGTGCAGGCGTTACAAGAAAGAACGAGCCATTCTGCACACGATAATAGCCTAGTACACCTGAAAGTGGTTCAGCGCGAAGACGAAACTGGCAAGCTTTGGTTTGCTCGTCCCCGCGCTTCCCCAGGTTGAAGCGGTGAAACTGCAGAATGCATGCAGGACCACTCCCCTCGGCCTATCTAACGTTTTGCACCACTGAACTGCAACACGACTGTCTGTTGCTTCTCTTTCACCATTGCCCCGTGACTTCAGCTGCTCTCATGGCGGTCGCTCACACAGCCGAACCCAGCTGCGCCGTTGCGCCACCATGACAGCACTCGGAACGACCACGCAAGGTGCAGCGTATGCACAAGGCAACTAACACCGTCACAACCACCAACCCCCGCCCCCCCTTCTCGCCTTGAGGATCTTGTCCCCTAGGTAGTCGTTCTGCAGTGTGGCGATGATGGGAATGCCTGGACATGGTGGGTCGCGACACACACATGGCAGGGAACGACGAGGGAGGGGTGTCGTGGGTCCGTCAGTCAAGATGGATGAAACCCTCCCGAAGAAAACAGGAGCTGCTGCATATGCGGCGTACAAAGGGGGTACCCAGGCGGTAGATATGCACACAAGAGCGAGGCTTCTACCGCCCGTCGAAACGAGTTGGTGACCGAACGTCGCGCGAGAAAACACAAATTGGGTGACGTTGACGCACCAACCCACAGCTAAAACGCTCAAGTGGTGGAATATCCAGCAATGTTTCGCTTCCCGCCGAAGAGGACGATAAGCAATTATGCTGTGGCTACGGCGTGCACCTCAGGCACATTTGCAGCGTTAAGCGTCAGAGGTGATGCACGAGGGCGCTAGTGGGACAGGAACCGCACATGTGCCACGCTGAAAGTCTACACAGGCAACGAGGGTAGAACGCAACAAAGTAACAGCATAGCTGGCAACAAGCAGAGCGCTCGCTCTCCTCCTCTTATCGCCCCCCATTTATCTCCTAACCCCCACCCCACACTCACCGCCGCAAACCGCGGCCTCGTATCCGAACGTCACCCCTGGGTGCTCCTTGAGCAGCTCCTGGATCTCGCCGAGGTACGCAGCCACGAGGGCCTTGTTCGCCGTCACGACGTGCTTGTTGCGACGGATGGCCTCGAAGACCACCTTCGCACCACGAGGCAGCAACGCAAAGACGAAGACAACGGCTTTTTCACACACACGACAAAGTACTATTTACTTCAACCTTGTCGCTGACGCTAGCGGTCTATTTTGTCGACGGTCGCCGACGAGAGGCCATGGCATACATGCGGCAGCAACAGCAGCACCAAAACAGCCGCAGTTGCGCCCCCACGTGTACCTGCGAAGTCCTTTTGAACCTGCTGCGCATAGATATTGCCTTTCGCCCCCTTTCGGAAAGATGTTCCCACCTTGTCTGCCTGCTGCTGCCGACGACCACTCAGCAGGTCGCCCTCCATATTCGCTAGGATCAGCGCCGAGCTCAGAAAAAAAATGCTGCTACTGTACGTGGAGCGCATGGTTAAACAATACAGAGCACGCTCACTCAAAACAACAGCAGCAGAAACATAACGACGGCGACAATCGGGCGATGGGACCACCCCAACTCTGAGAGCGTCCGCGTCCATGGTCCACTCGACCCAACCCACAATGTCACGATTTCACGATTTTACTCACGTCCTTCGCGTCCGTGACGCCGCCCATCAGCTCCACCACACAATTGATGGAATCGTCGTCCAAGATAGCGGCGTAGTCCGTCACCACCTGCAGCCCCCGCACGATTGGAACAAACAGACCGGCAACAGCACGAAGGTGATGGATTATTCGATTGAAGTACGTTAAACCGGGTTCCATACAACAGAAAGGTGTAGGCAATGACGACCCGCAACATATGCACAGGCAAAGAGAGGAAACAGACGTATCAAATCCCGCATCAACGACAAACAGCAGTGTCAATCACAAAATCAAATCAGGCCCACATTCCAGCAAAACTTGGGCATGTAGAATCCCCGGCCGCCCAAGTGCGTCGCCGGCACATGTGTGTGTCGGCATCACACCGGGGCCACCATCGGAAACACACATGGCAAGAGGGTCAGAAAAAGAAACTCGGCGCAATTGAGCGGCAGCAGTAGCAGCACCATGGTGACACAAACGACAAGACCTGTCGAACTGCAAGACAATACCCACCAATCCCCGAAAGCCGAGCTACGGTCCACCTACATCAGCATTCGACTGTAACTCCTGCTCCTGCACGCCAACAGCCGCCCCTACTTCCTCATCTCGGCAAACGTAATCGAAAACAAATGCGGTGGGCACAGATTTCCTCGACTTCACAACAAAGAAGGACATATATTCAATTTTCAATATGGCAAGACCCATCGGGATGGAGCAGACCTTCTCACGGCGCCGTATGACGAGGAGTGTATAGCTGTGTGTCCGGTGCGAGCAGTAACACGGTTGGTAGAGGTGGGGCGAGGTGTTGGACAGTACATGACAGGAGGTTGTTTGTTCTCAGGGATTTCTATTGGGCGCAACCGTGTTTCCCTTGTTGGACCTGGGAATCATGGGTTAAAGTGCGGCCAAATGTGCGTGCATCGGCTTAAGTAGGTATCGGTAACGTCCTACGTTAAAAACACCGGCAACGTGCTAGATAATCCGATAGGTTATGGTGTATGTGTGTGTCCTATGTGTGTGTCCGACAGAATCCGCAGACAAGAGTGCGGATGTACGGCCGCTTGACACCAACTAAACTGCTAATGTAATCGTGGTGGACGGTTGGCTATTAGCGTACCCCCCAAAGTGCGGGGCTATAAGCTACAGGCTGCATAGGAGGGCCATTCCAAGGCACCCGGCTACCCCCTCCGTGTTTCGGTCCTCCGATAAATTTTGCTAAGTTTGGGAGCTCTTTGAGCATGGCGGCCCGACCGACTTGCCGTCCCTGCTCCGGGGAACTCATGAGCTTGCCGCTCAACCACAAGCCGGTAGCGTCGATGCGCCCACTCGGCATTGTTTGTTCAATGCCAGTCTTCGGTACGATTCGCACTGAAGTAGACTGGCATAGAACATACAATGCCGAGTGGGCGCATCGACGCTACCGGCTTGTGGTTGAGCGGCAAGCTCATGAGTTCCCCGGAGCAGGGACGGCAAGTCGGTCGGGCCGCCATGCTCAAAGAGCTCCCAAACTTAGCAAAATTTATCGGAGGACCGAAACACGGAGGGGGTAGCCGGGTGCCTTGGAACGGCCCTCCTATGCAGCGCACTTCGGGGGGTCCGGTATTCAGTAGCCGGCGTCGTCCGCTGCCTCGACGTGGGCTACCCCGGGAGTGCCCAGCCAGTAAGGCCCGTCGCGAGGCCGCGGAGGCGGTCGCGGCGGAGGGCCGGTCAGGAAAACGCCCATGTGCAGCAAGTGTAGGAAGGGCGGCGGGCTTCTTTTGTGAGGGTCTTTGCTGCACTCGGATTGGCTATAATAGTGTTGGAACTCACCATGGGCTATATAATAGTGTTTGAGTTCACCATTGGCTACCGAGAAGAAGTTGGAAACAAACACCGTCAGAGCGCAACAACATGGATGCCTTTCTCCATGGGATCTGAGAGTCTGAACGACAGTTTCTAGGGAAGACTCGCAGTTTACGGGGGGAGCTGCAACTCCCTGGGACAAAAAATATAAAATATATCAGGGGATGGGTGCATCTGCAAGCCCCTGCGTGCAGTATACCACAGAGAGCAAGGCAACAGCGCCTGTCGAGACATCAACCAACAACTGAGTCTTCGTCAGGGTCTTCAGGATTGCTACAAATGATAATCTCACAGCACTCACAGCGATGGTTATCGCCGTGAGCTCAGCCTTGCTTATGCTGCGTCATCTATCGAATTACACTTGGAACTTTAGCTACCGTATCGCTTCTCATAGTGCGGCGCATGGCGCTCTGCCGTCGAGCCCACCTCCGTTTTAGGGTCCATCTTGAAGTCTCTGGGCTTCTTGCTGTCTCGTACGCAAACCTTGATGATTTCCGAGTCGCAGCCCAGCCCCTGGAAGAACGCCTTCTTGTCCTGTTGGCGTTCCAACGCAATCGTACCCGCCCACAAAGGCAAGAGACAGCACACAGAATGTCAAGTCGGACATGTTCGCAAGTCATGAGCGTGCCTATGTAGGTATTTGACGAGGGTACATGTGGCTCATTTGTCTATACAAACGTCGCTCGCGCGCTGCTTCTAGGCGGAGCAGGGACTGCCTTCGCGAGGGTTTTAGAGTTTATCTATGAAATACAGAGGGGGGCTTCGTAATCCTACCCCTAACCCCCAGCCCCACCCCGTAACCCCCTTGTAAAACAAACCAAGCTTAAATTCCTTGCGAGGGCTGCTGTGGAGAAGACACGGTATCGATGGTGTTCCGTCACCTGCTCGCAGATCTCATACACGCCTCCACCGACAGTGCCCCCCCCGAACATCCCCACCCTGAGGGGTGCTCCGACGGGTGACGGTCCCGTCGTTGTGGCCGGCGCGGCGGCCTCCGTCTCGGCTGCTACCATGCGCAGCGCGGCGCGCAGCCTCCTGCGACCGGGGAGAAAGGGAAGTAAAGGGGGGGGG